GAAGGAGAACAGGGAAGGGGAAGGAAGGAGAGAAAAGAAGGGAGGGAAGGAGGAGAGAAAAGGAGGGAGTGGGAGGAAGGAAGGAAGGAAGGAAGGAAGGAAAGGAAAGGAAAGGAAAGGAAGGAAAGGAGAGAATACCCATTCCTAAGAGGTCTGTAGGGGCGTGCATAAGGGCACCATCATGCTTCCCATCCCTATTGCCTCCAAAAGTTGTGGGTGTTTCATCGATGGAGGTTTTTAAGAAGAGACTGGGCAGCCAGTTGTCTGAAATGGTAGAGGGTCTCCTGCTTGAGCAGGGGGCTGGAGTAGAAGACCTCCAAGGTGCCCTTCCAACTCTATTCTGAATTGAGATCTAGTCCTGCCTTAGTTTGTCTCTCTCAGCACCAACCCCTTCACAGGGTTGTTGTTTGGGGGGGAAATAGGAGGAGGAAGGTATGTTGGATATATTTGAGTTATTTTTGAAATTGATAAAGGTGGGATATCAATCAATCAATCAATCAAATCACCCCAAGATGGAAAGCAGACTGTTCTGTCATTTTCCTAACCCCAGAAGCACCTTCCACTCCCCTAACAAAACATCACTTCAAACAACCACCCCACCAAGTGCATCCTCTGTATCGCAGTCTTTTCCCCCCTTGCAATATATCAAATAATCTTCTCATATTTCACCTCTTATCTATAAACAAAGCTTCAAAGCTTCATCATTCAGTCCTGACGTCAGCCAGAAGTCCAGAAGAGTTCCAGGAGAGAATGCATCTATTTTAGCCACGATTAAATAAACTGTCATGCCCCTGGTGGAGACTGACTCTGAGGGAGAGGAGGAACAGCCCAACATGGAGTGGAAGTGTGGCTCTGGAGGTTGTGGAGGAGGCTGGGGAAGGACAGAGGCCGGCTGGGCAGTTAGAGGAGGACCCAGGCCCATCCCCTCTGCATCCTAGGACACGCAGGGAGGAGAGGATAAAGGAGAGATGTGGTCTATTCGGAAGGAGAGGGCCTTGATTCTCTTCACGGGCTGCAGCTGTGACAACTGGATAAGAGGACGGACATGGGCAAGCGCTGGAAACAAACCATGGAAATATCTCTAGTTTATGGTTCGTCTCTAAGTTTGGCGTCCTTCCCAGTGTGTGTTCTGTTATCTGTGGACGTCTTCCAGACCTTATCTTGCTTGGTTTGTGTTGCTTTTTTCCTTCTTCTTGTAACTGTTTGTGTGGGAGTTTTTTGTCTTCCATCAAGGATATTCAGAGCTTGGAAGCAAAGTGAAGGAATAAAAGGGGCTTCACCTGTTTTCTGTGACTGTGACTTCTGTTTGTATCCCACCATGATAAACCAACTTTAGATACCTTCCCTTTACGTTACTTTTAACAATCTTAAATGGTATTGTTTTTGTTTTGTATTCCTTCCCTTTACTTTTAATCTTCTCAAATAAAGTCCCAAACGCCCCCAGCTTTTTCCCTTCTCACAAAATTCTTCGCAACTTTAAAAGATCTTGTGAAGTGGAACTTCCGGTTGCAAGGCTTCGGCGGCGGCAAGAATCCGCTTCTCTGCGGGTCCCCGTTGTGCTCGCCGCTGAGGTACCCCCGATCCAATTGGATTTGGGGGTTGTCACTGCCCCGAAGAGGCAGTGGAAGACAGAGGAGATCCGGGCAGGGGTCTGGGGATATCGCACCCCCTTTCCCCAGCCGGCTAGACTCCTTTTTCCTGAGGCGGTGGAGCGGCTGTCAGAAATGGCAGCCACAAAGGAATCTTCAACCGGATAAGACTGTGCAGGAGGAAGACAGAAGGAGAAGTTTTCTTGGCTGAACCGGGACATTAAGTTACTTTTAAAACACCCTGGAAGCCTGACTTTCGGATTGATACATTTGTTTCCAAAAGAAGTTTGTTACCGGCGGCGAAAGTGCTGAAGGAAAGTTCACTCCCCTTCCTTACGGAGAAAGCAAATGAGCACAGAAAAACCTGCTGCTTTGAGGTAAAAACAAGCTCTTTGTTATAAGTGGGAAGGAGAGGACTAAAAAAAAAATCTTTAAAAACTTGTTGGAGGAGACGCTTTGAAGATTATAAGACCAACAACTAATTGTAATACGGCTTTAAAATATATTTGGGATTTTGCCCCAGGAGGAAAAGTTGCAAAGAGAAGAAGAGGAAATAATTTCTGTCTGTTTGGATTGTTTGATAACTTTGACATTTGCAAATTACTTTAAGATTAAAAACATCTAGGTTGTTCTTAAAAATTTACAATGGCACCATCTGTGGATCAACTAAAAATGGAATATGAAAAATTAAAAGAAAGAGAACAAAATGGCAAGAATTCATTGGGAGCTGTCTTCCACTTTTTAGAAATGGCAGTTTCTACGTACCAGCAAATACTTGAGGAAGAAGGAGAACGAGAAGAAGAAGAAGAAAAGGAAGCCATTTTTAATGGACAAAAAAGTTCGATTAAGAAAGAAAATAGGAAGAGAGGAAGGAAAAATGAGAATTTAAGATTCAATAAAACAACCAAGAAAAAGAAAAATAAGGTGAAAAAAAGGTATAATGTTAGAAAGCAATTGAAAAGAGAATTACAACAGAGAGGGGAAGCTAAAAAGGTGGAGGTTAGGAGAGGGGGGGGCAAAAGGATCAGACTGGAGAAGAAAGGGAGGGGAAAAGGGGAAAAAAGCCACAGTCTGAAACAAGATATCTTTTTTAGAGATAAAGGATAAAGGACAGTGTATAATTTAAGAAAGATTCTGCAAGAGTACATAAGATAGTATTGTAGTATTTGCATTTGAAATAGTCTATTGGAATATTATAAGATTTAACAAAATATTAAAATATTAAAATGTTTTATAATGATAGATTTCAATATTTAATAAAATATTAAAGAGAATGTGCAAAATGATTAATGCTTAGTTATACTATTAATTAGAATTAGAATGGAAATTACATACTTAACTATATTATAAGTTTATTATTCTTTTTTTTTTCAAAATACAATATGTAGAATGTACTAAGCAGAATCAGGATAGAAATTATGTATTATTTTAAGTGTTACTTTAGGGAAAGGCGTCACACCTTAAAAGTGATTACAGGGGAAATTCTTTGCTAAAGAGAAGAGATAAATAGATGATTGGAAAAGAACGGACAAAAGATACAAACATAATGATTTTGAAATAAGGTGAAATAAATAATATATAATTAAGAGAGTGAAAAGAAGGGAGAAGTTATATAGAAAATATAGAATGGTTAATAAGATATGAATGGTATATAAGGTGAGCATGAACTTGATTTAGGTCTGTAAAAAAAGATGTAACCTGGGGCTAAGCCACTTTTCAAAAGAAGTTTTATGTTTTATGTTTTGTGTTTTGGTTAACTATGTTTTGATTGTGAATTAATAAAACCTTGGAAGAATAAAACGAAAGGGACAGAAATTTGGAAAAGACATGTATAAATGATAATTAAGGAGGTTTTATCTTTTTGTGTCTTGTTTTATGTTTTGTATTTTGTGTGTTTATGCTTGATTGAGAATTAACAAAACCTTGATAGAAAGAAATATAATTGAATAAAAGTGAAGGGAGAAACAATGAGAAATTTGGAAAAGATATATACGTGTTTAAATGGAAATGTGATAATGTGGAACTATGCCTTAAAAAATAATGCTTTATTTGCCTTGTTAAAACTTATAAGTAATTTTTGAGAAAGGAGGTTTTATACTTTGATGTCTTATGTTTTGTTTGTCTTTAAAACCAATAAAACTTGTTTTATTAAAAAAAAAAAAAAAGGTCTTGGGGGGGGGGGGGGGGGGGACGGACATGGGGGAATTTTGCAAAGGTGTTTGTGTTGGGAAGATGCTGTGTGGAGTGTCTCTCCGAGTCCCTCCAACTGCTAGGCTGCCCTCTTGGGTTGCGTGACGGGAAGTCCCATTGTTGGCTTTTCTTGGACCAGGATTTCTATGTGTACTTTTCCAGAAAGGGGTTGCTGGTCTGGCAACCTTGAGGTGTTTGTTGCAGAGTCTGCAAACAACAATCATGTTGCATGGTGTTGCTTTCATGTTGCATGGTGTTGCTTTCTGTATGGAGTGTGTATCCTGACACTTCCTTTCTAAGAGGAGGGAAGAGTTTCACACTCCAGCATGCCATTTCAGCATTTCAGCCGTTGGGAAGCTTCCTTATTTTAAGTTTCACAATTAAGAAACCCCGTGCCCACCATTCCTGCTCCTTCCCGCTGCTCAGATGAAGTGGTGAAGTGAAATGTCAATCAAATCAAGGCAAAAGACCGCACACACACACACAAAATTTAAAAAAAAAACGAGAACGTTAAGCCAGTTGCAAAAATATTGTCATATTGGAGACAAAACCCGGGTCTACCAAATATTGGACAAAAATACATATCTGGCTGGAAAAGATGATAAAGCAGACTATTGATTTAAAACCAGAAATATTTTTGTTGGGGATTTTACCTGAAACTTATAGGAAAGGGAAGGCATATTTAATTATCCATGTATTAACTGTAGCTAGAATTGTATTTGCACAAAATTGGAAGTGTGAAGAAATTCCTACCAATGACAATATGATTAGGAAAATATTAGAATGTGCAGAAATGAATAGATTAACACTAGCAATTAAGGAGAAAGAACAAGCAGAACATTATATGACATGAGAAATTTTTCTATCGGTGTTTATAGAGAAAAATGGAAGTTAGATTAGTGAAATATAGAAAATATGTTAAGATAGAGATGTAAACAATATGATGACTGTTACTGGTATGATTAGTAGACTTACTATGTTTAATACTATCCCTATATTCTTATTAAAAGAATATAGGGATAGTATTAAACATAGATTAATACTATAGAGGGAGAAATGAATATCATGATTGTAAAATTAGAAAAGCAATATTAATGTAATGTATACTTCTGTAAATTTAGATGGTTATTGCACAGAGATATTTGTACTCAGATGGCACACTGTTTAATGGAAGATGGAATGTTTACATTTAAAAAATAATAATAATAATAAAAACAAGACAGGATAGCAGTGTTTCAATATTTGAGGGGCTGCCACAGAGAGGAGGAAGGGGTCAAGCTATTTTCCAAAGCACCTGAAAGCCAGAAGGAATAATGGATGGAAACTGATCAAGGAGAGATTCAACCTGGAAATAAAGAGAAATTTTCTGACAATGAGAACAATTAACCATGGAACAGAAGTTTCCTTCAGAAGTTGTGGGATAATGTCCCTGGTTGTACTTGTGTTTTTTTATTATTATTATTCATAAACATTTTGAATACAGCGTATTGTCAGGGCATATCATTTCCAGAAAAGCCAAGAAAGAACAAAAAGAAATATTAACCTATATACTAATAATAATAATAGTGAAACAGAATAGCTTTGACTAGATTTCTCTTGATATTAGCTTATTTATAATTCTGTTGGTTGTATTGGCATATTTGTAATGTTAAACCACCTTTAAATTTAATTCATGGATAGCGACAATCTTTCTTCCTCTAATTTCTACCTCTTATCTCTAACCGCTCCTAAAATCTATTCCATCTTAAGTAGTATTCTGTGTCTTCAGATAATCAGATAATAATAGATTTTTTAAATTTTTTTTACCAGATTTGGTTCTATTGCACTTTATTCATTTATTTGATTCTTTTTGTTAGTTTTTATTGTTTTTTATTTTTACTTTTTGTTTTAAATAGGGTTTGACATTAAGCCGCCTTGAGTCGCCATGGGCGAATAGTCAGCAATGTAAATTAAATAAATAAGTAAATAATCAGAGTTGGAAGGGCCCTTGTAGGTCATCTAGTCCAACCCCCCCACCTAAGAAGGAGCCCCTACACCATTTCTGACAAACAGCAGTCCAATCTCTTCTTGAATGCTCCAAGTGATGATGCTTGAGACCTTCAAGAAAAGATTGGACTGGCATTTTAAGTAGTATTCTGTGCCTTCTTCGTCCTTTATTTTTAATGTTGATCCATCCATCTCTGCACAGCCTAATATTTTCCAAATTACATCCTCATCTGATGGGAGCGTTCTAATTTTTCCAATATTGTGCAAATGCTACGGTCAAGACACACTGTGATGACCCAGGGTGGGATACAAAATAAACAGTCACAAAAACAGGTGAAGCTCCTTTTATTCCTTCACTTTGCTTCCAAGCTCCGAATATCCTTGACTGGAGACAAAAAAACTCCCCCACAAGCAGTTATGAAAAGGAGGAAATGCCATTTAAACTAAAAATACCTATAAATTATAAATAGAAAAAACAACACAAACCACACTGAAGCAATTAAGAGAACCAGGCAAGATAAGGGCTTGAAGACGTCCACAGATATCAGTACACACACTGGGAAGAGAAGAATAGAATAGAATAGAATAGAATAGAATAGAATAGAATAGAATAGAATAGAATAGAATAGAATAGAATAGAATACTTTATTGGCCAAGTGTGATTGGACACACAAGGAATTTGTCTTGCTGTAAATACTCTCAGTATTCATAAAAGAAAAGATACATTTGTCAGGAGTCGAGAATCATAAGGTACGACACTTAATGATAGTCATAGGACACCAACTCAGAGAGGAACGACAGATCAGAGATATTTCCACACTGTTTCCAGCACTGGCCCATACGCATGTCCGTCCTCTTAACCAGTTGTCACAACTGCAGCCCATGAAGGGGATCAAGGCCCTTTCCTCCCCTGTAGACCATGCCATTCCCATCTCTCCCTTATCCTCTCCTCCCTGCATGCCCTAGGGTGGATAGGGGATGGGCCTGGGTCTTCCTCTGACTGCCCAGCCGGCCTCTGCCCTTCCCCAGCCTCCTTCACAACCTCCAGAGCCACACTTCCACTCCCTGTCAGCTGTTCCTCCTCTCCCTCGGAGTCCATCTCCAACAGGGGCATGACACATGCAAAAGTGTGTATTCGCAGTCGCAACGTTTTAAGAAGGGCCAAAAACGTTGGAATCGATGCGGCTTCGTTTTATTTTATTTTTTACTCACGTCATTCTTGCTGAAATGATCCAGGATGGAGGGCAGGAGGGGCAAAATCAGGGTAAAGCCCAGCAGGTCGATAAACAGCGCGAGAAACACGGCAAGAATGACGCGGGAAGAGTTTTCCTCTGCCCTCCGGGTGCCAGGGTCCCCTTGTGACATCTTCTGGAGGAGTCCTCTCTATGGTCAACGAATGGTCTCAAAACGTCAACTCCGGCTGGGGGATTCTGGGAGTTGAAGTCTTCGAGGTCTTGCCAAAATTGAAGACCCCTGCAATACAAAATGAGAGTCATCGTTGGGGCAGAGATGTGGATTTGTTCCCCGGGGCACATAAGTTGGACAGAGGGAGAGAAAGGAAGCTGGAAGTAGCTGGGATTTCCTGAGAGCTTTGACAGGATGGAAACTGAACAAGGAGAGATTCAACCTGGAAACAAGGAGAAATTTTCTGACAAGTGAGGACAATCAACCAGTGGAACAGAAGTTGCCTTCAGAGGCTTTCAAGAAGAGACTGGACTGCTATTTGTCAGAGATGGTGTAAGGTCTCCTGCTTAGGTGGGGGTTGGACTAGATGACCCACAAGGTCCCTTCCAACTCTTATCATTCAATGGAACAGAAGTTGCCTTCGGAAGTTGTGGGAAAGCTTCATCCCTGGACGCTTTCAAGAAAAGATTGGACTCCCACCTGTCAGAAATGGTTTAGGGTCTCCTGCTTGGGTGGGGAGGGAGGGTTGGACTAGATGACCTCCAAGGTCCCTTCCAACTCTGATTGTCTGATCTCTGTTATCTGACAGGCAATCCTCGACTTACAGGCCACCACTGAGCCCCAAATTTCTCTCACCAAGGCAGGAGACGTTTATTCGGTGAATTTTACCCCTCCTCCTTTGTGTATGATCTTTCTGGCCGCCGTTGTTAAGTGAATCACAGCCATTGTTAAGCCGGCATCAACCGTTGTTCTGCGAATCGGGCTTTCCCCATCGACTGCTTGGCTCATCGGACGGTCGCCCAAGGGGAATCACTCATCCCCCCCCCCCACACACACCAGGGATGCTGTCACCGTCATAAATACCAATCAGTGGCCCAAGTGTCCAAATATGGATCCCTTGACCGCTGGAGGGGGGAGGGGAGAGGCTGCAACGGTTGTAAGTATGAAAAAAACGGGTCCTAGTTTGCTTTTTTCCCCCAGTGCTGTTGAAAACTTTGAAGGGCCACTCAAGGAGGAACAGCTTAAGTTGAAGACTAACCTTTATGCCTTGTGTGTGTGTGTATGTTTGTGTGTGTGTGTGTGTGTGTGTGTGTGTGTGTGTGTGTAAAAATAGCAACCTTACAGCAATGGGGAAAAGGATATTGCCCCAAAGGAACTCAAGCCATGATGTTCCAGAGCCCCCAGAGGTGGAAGAACTGCAGTAAGTCATTCCTGGACACACACACACACACACACACACACAGCCTTACCATCCCTCCTTCACCAGCTGTGCCTCTCCCCCTCTCCGCAGGACGAGAGGGAGAGAGAGAGGGAGAGAGAGGGAGGGAGGGAGGGAGGGAAAGAGAGGTGAGAGAAAGAGGAGAGAGAAAGAGAGAGGGAGGGAGAGGAGAGAAAGAGAGGAGGGAGGGAGAGAAAGAAAGAGAGGAGGAGAGAGAGGAAAGAGAGAGGGAAAGAGGGAGGGAAAGAGAGAGGAGAGAAAGAGAGGGAAGGAGGGAGAGAAAGAGGGGGAGAGAGAGTAGGGAAAGAGAGAGGAAAGGAGGGAGGGAGGGAAAGAGAGAGGAGAGAAAAAGAGAGGGACAGAGAGATGAGAGAAAGAGGGAGAAAGAGAGAGGAGAGAAAGAGAGAGAGGGAGAGAGAGGGAAGGAGGGAGAGAGAAAGAGATGCCAGGAGGGATGGGAGACCACCAGGAGACCCCCGCGGGAGGAGAGAAGCCCCCACCTACCCCCATCAGGAGAGCCCACCTCCAGCCCGACGAGTCCCGGGGGTTGCAGCCCGGCCTCTCTCTCTCCCGCCTGCCTGCCTGCCTGCCGTGCCAAGCCCAGACAACTCCTTCCTCTTCCGGCCGGGCTTGGCCGGGCTGCGCCCCCGGGGGGGGGCGGGGGGGGCCCCCCCCCCCCCCCCCGGCCACCCCCCCCCCCGCTCTCTTGCTTGCCGGGCTCGGTCGGAGCTGCGGGGCTCGAGCCTCCTGCTGCTCCCGGGAAAAGCGCGGCGGAGACCGGGCGGAGGGCGCGGAGAGAGAGAAGCAGACACACACACACACATACACACAGCCGGCCGGGCTGACCTTGGGGAGACGCCGCGCCCTCAGGTCCCCGGAGGCTGCCTTGGCCGGGCGTCGGCCGAGAGATTTCCATCCCCTGCCCTCTCCCCCAGGTGCGATCCGCGGAGCCGCTTTCCCCCGACCGACTTCCGTGAGGCGTTGGCCGCCGCCCTGGAGTCAAAGGCAGCAGCAGCAGCAGCAGTGGCTCCTGCGGGATCCGAACTCTCAATTAATCAGAATAGAGCTGGGGAAGGGGCCTTGGGAGGACTTCTCGTCCAACCCCCTGCTCAAGCAGGAGGCCTTAAACAATATCTATCATCTATCTATCTATCTATCTATCTATCTATCTATCTATCTATCTATCTA